GCAGGTGTTCAGGGATTTCCTCGTACCCACTTTCTCGTTATTTAATTTGTAGTTGAGATACACCTCACAAAGGTGGGCTGCTAGTTTGCCTCACATGCCAGGCACGCAGCACAGTATGAGGAATCATGCGGAAACTACGTCCGCCTGTCGCCCAGAGGCATGTCAGGGTGGTTCTGAGCCGCGGGTCGTCCCACCTACAACCCTGGTTCAGTAAAGCTTAAATAAGTACTTTTTGACATCTGAACTCGGTATCCCCTTTTCCAGGTCTGACCTTTGTTTAAGAACTTCTAGCTACCGTTTGCTGCGAATCACCCATCAGCCTCTGTTAGCCCTCAAAGCGCCTGGTAGGTAGGCAACATTCCGCGTGCATCGCATACGTGGTCTGCGGTGTGGCCTAACCCGAGTCTTGCGGGCGTCGAGCTCCCGCAATGTGCAGAATGAATCTAAAGGAAAACGGGCGTACTTTGCTATAGCTTCAACCTCGACCAGGAAAGTTGTACCTCGATCCAAGAACAATCATCCCCTAAATTAAATTTCGCTAAAATGAAGTTTCCTCCTGAAACGGTGCAAAATTATTATCCTTGGTTGTGGATATAGATGGTCAAAGAAGATTTGAACCTCCAGGGCTTATATGATCGATCCCACTTACTCAACATGCTAGTTGTCAGGAGGGAATCGCCCATAGTGTGAACAAAGTACGGGCGATCGGCCATTTTTCGCGCGTCCGCCGTCGTTTTCTCTCGGTGTATCGTCATGGGCGTTACGCCCCGCAATTCGGCCGCATTGATGGCGCCTGAAGTAGTTTCCCAGCGGCGCAGCCCGCTGGATTACCATGATGGATTCAAAGCGGCTCGAGAGCAGAGCGGTGCCGAGCGGCGCTGAGCGGGCCGGCCGGACCGGCGGCCGAGCCGGCGGGAGGGGACGGCCGGCTCCGGAAACATGAAAGGCAACATCTGCAGCAGGCCCGGGTGGCACTGCTCGGCCCGAGCGCGATGGTTTGTCTTGAGATTAGAGTCTCCTTTCTTATACATTCGCGAGTTGCGGTATTTTCGTGTTCCTAGGCGCAGCAGTGATGTTGCGTC